TAATTCTGAATAATAATAGTACTCACCTCAATAAATCACCAACGTAGAGAATATTAAAATATTATAATGACTAGAATTTTACTGCAATTTTTGTAAAAACACTGTTAAGGTTAGTTCTTTTGAAAATTCTTCATTTCTGTAAGACTAATCAATTTTGAACTTGCAGGTGAAGGACTTATTATTGAGAAGATAGTAGATGACAAAAATTTAATGGAACTATCATTGTCAACATATTCATAATAAAAATGAGTCAGCAAATAAGAATTGTGACTTGGATAAAAAAAATTTTTTTGTTGAAAGACAAAAGTCATAAAACATAAGGTAAAAACTTTCTTGAAATTATTCAAAAATTAGCAGTGAAGATTTTCATTGTTTAAGCCTAGTGATTCATATTATAATTTTAATTTAATTATAAATTCTAGCTATTTATAATGTTAAAACATTTTTGATGAGTGATTATTGAAAGATTATTTTATAATAAATCTTCGGAGAGATTAAAGAAAGAAAAAGAGAATAAATTTAATAGTTTTTCATCTAAAAAGCTTGTTCAAACATGTTTAAGTTGACATTTTTAATAAAATAACCAATTTTGTGAAAATTTTGATAGACTGACAGTTAATTTCGTAAAAAAAATTTTCGTCATAACTTTCGTAGAGTAATATTGTTTTTACGTATAGTTTTTTACGCCCTTATAAGCATTTACTCGGATAAAATCAAGATCATGAAATATTTTTCCTTATTTTATAATTTTTGTTTATTTCAAAAATATATTAACAATTGATCAAAAATCAGGTTTTCTCACATCTAGAAATTTGATGCAAATAATAGATTTTTATTTCATAAACGAAGAACGAGTTTTAATGAGGAATCTCTCGAGTAAAATCCTATCTAATCATTATTATAGACAAATCAACATTAATGATGAACAAACAAACAGAACTAGTGGCCTTGGGAATTTGATAGAATGTCGACTCGATCGTTAGTTAAACCAACGTGGTCACGTTAAGCATGAGTAGAGAGAAGAGTACAAGTGATACTGGATTCGACAGAGTACGTACTCTTGGTTCAGGAAATCAGAGCACAGAGTAGAATGGAAGTGAAGAGAAGCTCGAGAGTGTTGTCTACCTAGAGATGGAACATTCCGGCTTCCAATTTGTTTGCGGCCACATGAGGTTAATGCCTTGTCTGCTGTTTTGCAACTAGTGAAATTTGTAGCAGACGTCATTTAACAGTAGCACATCTGTTAAATATTTAAATAACATTTTTTTAATTTTCAGAATTAACTGCTCATTTGTTACAAGAAAATGTTTTTTTTTGTTAATTTTTATTTACTAGTATTATGTAGGTACTTTTGCCAATATAAAATATACAATGAGTTCAAATAAAACGTTCGTTTAATTTTATACCTCGAGCGTGTGGTGCTAGTGCGAATAATTGATCGGTTTAGTCTTTATCTCCCGGACCCAATTACCCGAATGATCATGCGTTTTATCTTCTCCACTTCTGCGTATTTACTTTTATTTTTAATTTTGCACACGACTATTTTTTTATTTTTTTTTCTACTTTCTGTAACACATACTCCCAATTGACAGGAATTATTAGCAGAATAAAAAAAAACCTGAATTGAAAATTTATCATCATAAAGAATATTTTATTGAAATATTCACTATTTAGATCTTCATAAAATCAGAAAAATATAGCTTCCATTATTTTTTTTTTCACCGTTAGTTATTGTAATCTGTGAAAATAAGCGAAATTTATTTGAATAAAAAAAATTCGATATCTCTAGAGATGATAATAAGTTTTGTGTCTGTCGTTTTGCTACATATTCTGTTTAGTTTCGTTTGGAAATTCAAATATGAATAGCTACAGCAGTTGTCTATTTTTCTCTTGAAATCATATGCTATCCTCAACGAGGTAGATATGCCCATCTATGGAAATTTTGTAGACAATTTCGATGACACGTGAGGCAGAAAATTGGAGAAGTTTTCTATCGTGTACGAATCTGTATAAAATTTTCTTCCGGTCGTGGTTGGATACACGTACAAATGCGTACCAATTCCTGAAATATTGCTGCTGACTGCTGCCACTGAAATTTATGTTCGGTGCATCGAATAAATACAATGCCTTTTACATTTCACGGTTAGAGTTTTTACCTTTTTTGAAACTGTCATTTAACTATTCATCATCGAAGAGTACATAAACATAAACGATCGGCTGTCATATCATATCATTGTTTTATTTTACTTAATACCATTCTGAAATCATGCTAATATTTTAGATAATTAAACTTTAAATTTTTAATTTAGATATTAATAAAAATTTGAACAAAGATAAAAGGCGATTTTTTATTGCTGAGAAATGCACATTTATTATCTGGATTATTTCGAGTATCCTACGCTACGACAGATGACAACAAAGGAATGCATATTTCGTTTCTTTCTTTGACTTTTGTGGGAATCTGGAAAAGTTCAATAAAATACAAGAATTTTTGCGATTCAGTAAATATTCTTCTCTTACATCGTAGTGGTTTTCATTCTTTGTTATATCTTGGCGAACTATCTTCTGTGTCAACTCATGCGCGTACTATAGACTGTAGTCAGTCGACTATCCGTGAAAATTGTTCGACCACGCGTCAACAACGAAATCGTTCAATGTCTTTGATACCCGAGGGTGCTTCTAAGAATTGATAGTGGTAGCAATAAAGTCATTGATTCATATATATTTGCTATATCCTTTTTGATTGGGTCATATGTTTGTATCAAGCAATATCATGCTTTATGTACTTTCAGAAAATGTGATCATGAGTTAAAGAGTTAAATGCAATATCACGGGAAATACTCTGAATCAATTTATTTATCACCAAATCAATATTTAATGACTCGAATAAACTATAAAATAATAATATAGGTCAATACTCTCAATCATCTAGTCACAATTTATTGCATCAATAAGGTCTGACTTGAAATTCAAAATATAACAAGTAGAAAATCTGTCACACAATGCTTTAATTAACGAACCCAATATCATTAGTCAATAAATGCTTATTTGATAGATTCAAAATTCTAAATAATTTGAAACATCTGCTTGCAATTTTCATTCATGAATAATCAAACTTATTTCGACTAAAGTATATGTGTGTGTATTTCCTTTGAATATTTGAAGCAATTAACAGTAATCTAGAATCGAGAATTTCTGTGGAATGAAACAAAGTGGAATATCACAGAATTGTTTTACGCGTAACGTTCCAATCATTTTTTTTTAATATACTAATTATTTAAATTCATTTTCAATCATTCAATTAATAAAGTCAGTACTCACTTTTATAAAATAATAAGATTTGATCTGACCAGTTGTATCATGAATCTGCGCTTTTCAGATCAGTCAGATGGGAAATGCAATTGGAACTTGTAATTTTCTTCGCGTCACGGTTCTGAATCTGATGGGAATTTGAAAGCGGAGAGGAAAGTTATGCTTGTTACGAGTGCTATCACTCTTCCAACGGGTCGTGTAATATAACGTGTATAGCATAATATGCGTTAGCTGAATTTGCAATCGAATTAGGTATAGAATAATTTGCATTTATCTCATTGTCCTCTTTGGCTTTCAGTGACTGTGTTTCTATGATTTTTGTTTCTAGAATTCCGTTTGAGTTTGGAAATCAAAGGATCATATATAATGTAATCAGATAATAGTTTCTATTGAACTTAAAGTCATTGTCTCTTTAGATATTTAATTATTCATTTCCCAACAATATAAATATCTTTATAATCTACCAACAAACAATGGGGTAAGTAACAATAAGTCATTTATAATCTAATTTATTAATTATTGACTGAAGTTGATGATTAAAGCTTATAAACTTCCAATAAGCCTCAACTTGAACTCGATCATCATATAATGGATTATATAAGCTCGTTACGCATTATTTATGTCTTCAATACATTGACTGTAACCATTACTGATGGTGTTATTGTTAATATGAGCGTACCGGAGTTTCCTGCTATTGCAACTGTAGCTTGGTCCTCGAGCTATTATTATTATTATCATAACTCCCGGAAGTTATGCGCTCGACATGTGTGGGAAGCCACTGTGGCCGGACACCCGGGTCATAAACGTGAACGAGCGTTTTAGGTAGCTCTGAATTCTAGAGTGAGAAGTGCACCATCTAAAATCTAAAGTAGAACAAGCAGATGTAAAGTTAGACCAATGGTAAAATTTTGAAATGACTAGAGGTAATAGTTGCTCACTGTAATAGAATTAAAGTTGTTCACGACTTGGTTATTTCTTCTCAAGTTAGTCTTTTGGGCATTAAGTGCAGTAAAGATATGATCAAAGGTAGTAGAATTACCGACTCTAATTCTCTCAAGTCGTTGAAGATTTTAATATTGAAAGATTACATTGGTACTTGAAAAGTGGCAGAAAGCTAGTTGAAATAAATTAAGTTGCTTTCGCAAATTTTAGTCTCGACGAACATAGTCTAGGTCTTGAATACGTCAGTAGATTGGTACTGATCATTTATTTAGAGGTCCAACCTTGTTGGTGAACGTGCTTTGCGATTTGCAATAGTCATGTTATGTTTGCAAAGGGAACTCCGGAAATGTTGTGTTCTAAAGAGCGGATCGCTACAGTATCGATCAAAAACACTTTACAAAACTTGTTTCAATTCAATTAATTAGAAATTATTAATTCGTGCTAATAGGTTTGAAAATTGCTTCACATAATTGTAATTTTTTAAATTTGTTACTTAAATAATAAACATGCAACAATAATTGTACAGTTGCATGATAAAAGCATGATTTAAAATAAGTTTAAAGTTTCATACTACTAATGCTTTTAAAACTGTTTCAGAGTATGTATGATGTTAACATACTACTGAGTATAGCCTTGGGAATAATTTTGGTCTTGACTGTATATATGCATACCGATTCGTGGATGCTGTTTGGTGAGATAGATGGTACAGAAGGAAAACAGGTACGTCTAACATGTACTATACTCACTACGCCTATTGCCGGATCAGGAATTCTACATGGGAGCACAGCAGTTCCGTTGGTTTGTGCCAAGACATCCTTAATTGGACCTTCAACCTCGAGCACATTCTTCTTGTTGACGCTTTGAAAGCTCAAATTGCGTATCGTTGCTCCTGAAAATACCAACAAATAATTATAAATAAAGTTTTATTATAGTAAGTTTTAAATTGGAAAAATCAACGGACTATAGACTCAATTTTAGCCGTTCAACGAAGCAATTACTGAATGAAAAAATCTACTTGAGCTTATTGTGTTTACTGGTCGGTGAATTCTTAGTACATTACTTATTTTATTATGACTCCAAGTATTATCAATAAGAATCTGAGAAATTGAATCTAGAATCTTTCTACCAAAAGCTTTTAACATAGAGTCATCATTTATTTGTGAAGCAAGATTGTTTATAAGAAGTGTCATTGAAAATAATTACACGAAATTGTCATATTAAATTGAAAGAGATTAAAATCTAGAATCTTCAGAATTTTCAACGGATCTTTATTTTTCAACAAATTTATGACCTCGATTGTAGAAAATGGGGTTGAATAGCTAGCTATCTTCAAGTATGGCATTGAGTGAGTTGCAATTTTTTAAAAGTTAGGGTGAAGTTAGCCGCAGATCTGAGCGCGTAAAGGTTGGAGTTGAAATAAAGATAACAGATGAGGATAAAAGGAGAAGAAGATTGTTCGATGAGTAAAAAAAGGAAAGGAGTAAAGAGTAAAGTGTAGAAAAAGCTTGATGTGAAACAGAAGGGAAGGAATAAGAGTTCAGAGGTCTTTCGAAGCTGACGAGCTACCATGTATTGGCAAAGTTGAAGCTTGTTTAGACAAGAACTTTTTGACCCAGGGATTTATTTGTTTTGTTGGGACTTGAGTTCTCTTGCTGACTCCTACGACATTCTCGTACGTCTTTGTAGCCGGTGGCAATTTAGCACCCGAATTCATGTATATATACTTGACACTTCCTCGTTGAATCTCAAGTATATTCATTTCTTCTCTCTAGAAAATAGGTTTCTTGGGGTTGTCTGTGATTTTCGCAATCTGACAGTGAAGTATATCAGTAATAGACTTATTTAATGTGTGTAGTTAAGTTGATTATTTAATGAAAAAATCATTTACTTGATCTGCTTCATTTATTTCAATACAAAAAAGGTACTTTCAATCAAATAATGTTGCTCGTGATATTCAATCATCCTCTTGTTTAAAACGTTTTAATGTAATCAGTATAGTTCAAAGAGATTATCATAAATCCCTTGGGCACTGGACAGATTATTTGGAAATAGTTCAGCTAAAATTTTGGAATTTACCGTGAAAATGTTTTGTCATTGTTTAACTAGTTGTCAGAGTAACAGCTAGTTTGGTATAATGCACACATGTGGAATATATAAGGATTGATGTATTTAAAAGTATGTGCTGAAAATTGTTTTAATGTGAGAAATAAAAGATATGGGTATTCGCTGGACATTTTTTTCAAGAGCAATTTAAGCGTTAATCACCGCTAGAGTTTGCTGGCAACTTGAGCACTGGAACATGGGGAAGTTAGTGCTGTGGTTCATAGTATTCCCAATGCGTTCACCCGCCAAATGGATACTATATAGCTACATCTAGGTCGTTGGTAATTACTGGAGTTATTCACTCAACTATGCAAACGACGACTTCCAGAAAGAGGGGTTCAAGAAGGAATTTAACATTCACTTCACATTGACTTTCTGAGAAAGGAATTCTCTAGGGGTAGGAAAGAGGCAACGAAAATTTAGAAGAGTGTACGTACATTGAAGACAATCTCTCATTGTCGTCCTGTTTGACGAGCTTGAATGACATTATCTACTTAGAATGAGTAACTTTAGATTAGTATTACTGGTAATGGAAATTTAGACGAATGTAAATGAAGCAGTGCATGATATAAGAAAACAATCAAGTTTTATTTTATTATTATTTTATTTGCATTAGAATAGAAAGTATTATTATGAGAATCATATTTGTCAGTTTTATTCAATTTAATTCATGGAAAAAGTAACTTTTCTTTTTAATTTCATTCAATTTATTCAGAGAAATTATCTACAATCGAGTATACTCTCATAAACTTATTCAACTTTTCTCTTGTCAGGTTTCATTTTATTTCTTTATTAAACCTAGTAAATCTTATAATTTATGTTTGTTAGCATTGTAGTTGAGATTAAACAAATGGCTTTGTGTGGATTTGAATTATAAAATTTTCATAATTTACGTGATCAATAAATCATTGGTTCGAGGTGTTTAAATGAGTTTTACTGATTAATGGTAAGTACAATAAGTAGAAAGATTATTTCTGAAAGCTATTCACTTATCTACATACATAGTTTACTTTTTTAAGGGTTTAATCTTTGTGTCTTAAGATTAGGTTCTCCGAAAGCTTGGAGTTTCTCTAGATGAGAATCTTTGAAATGAATCCCGACTATCCAACTGTCATGGAAAGCGTCCGAATTTCATCCTCAATAACCAGTCGTTACTATCATCTCCAAATGGTCAGCAGTAACTTGAAGATTAGACTTGGAAACTATTCTCTCAAATTCCTTACCAAATTGACTTGAAGCTTGTCTGAAATAGTAAACTAAAGAATCTGATAAAGGTGATCTATTTTATTTTCATCATAGTTAATTTGATAATTATGGAGTTTTAATTACAGTTTCGATGTTTTTATGTATTCAAAAATGACGGGATCTAACTAGCATTATTTAATGTAATTAATTGAAGAATTATTATAGGTTGAGTTAATTTTCTTCAATAAAAATCATTAAAAGTTTTTTATAATTATATTATAAAACTAATCGAACGAATCAGTAAAGTTTTTAATTATTTTTTAATATTAGTTCATTTAATTAAGTTTCAATTGTTATACTTTGATTTTAATCAAATAAATTTTGAAAGTGAAGTCTATATACAAGTGTGGGTTAAATGTTTCAATTAGAAATATATTAAATAAATTTTTATTGGATTTAATTTATCTTACATTTGAATTTGATTTAATATTCTAATTAATATGAATGAAAGAAAAATCATTTTTATTGAATATAAAAATTTAAATATTCATTTTTTCTAATGGAAATGAATATGTAATTGTTTAAATTAACATAAATAAACCTTGAAAATTTTTATTTACGTTTCATTCAATTTTCTACTTTACTTTCTACCTTAGTGTCTCGAAAGCTTAGGTCATAAAGATGTTTATTAAGTTCGTTAGTTAATGAATATCGTAAACAAAAAGAGCTCAGGTATTTTTAAGCTTGAGCGTAGTGTATGAAATTAACAGGTGAAAAGAGACAAAAAAGAGCAAAAATGTATCGGAAAAAAAATCTGTATATATAGAGGAAGTAAAACACGTAATACTAAAACGAATTTTTACTCATTCATGCAAACTACTCTTTTTGATTTATTAAATTTCTAGTACAGATACTGATTCATTCAAAAGAGCTTTTATTTAAAATATAAAACATCTTTCAGTGTAGTTTCAAAGTTTAATATTTATTTTTAATATTCTCGACTTTTGTCGATATTCATTACTTGAGCTCAATGAATTCATTACTTTTTCAACGGAAATAGAATTGAATGGTTTTAATATGCAAAAAAAAATGAATGAAACTCTATATAGTGTCAAATAAACTTTGTTGTAGTTATTTTTTTCATTTGCACTATATTCAATTAAGATCCTTTGATAAAATCCTTAAAACAAAATCATTAATATGTTGATTTGATATTGTACCATAACGATGTACTGTATTTCAAAGAAAATTAAAGTAATGTAGAGGAGAGAGAGAAAGGAAAAATATGTTAAGGAGAGTCATATTTTTTTTCAGTCATATGCATTAGGATCAGAAGAAGGGAAGAATGTAAAGAGCAGATGCGAGTAGCTTTCAAGAATAGCCAATAACGATGCAAACAACCTCGTCAACATCTCGATGACGCTAGAGAATAGTGAAGATAGAAAAGCGTTGAGATTGCGTCGTTTCTGCTGGATAAAAATATCACTCTCGTTAGTATAATTATTATTTTTTATCTCTTGAGTTTAATAAAAATTGTAATACTGAAAATTAGTAATATTCCCATTCATCATTGAATTTAAATAAACAATATTGATATACAAAAATCGTAGCATTTTCATGTCAAAGAAATCTACTACCAATGTTCGTAAAAAAATTAAATTATTAGACTTAATAACCACAACTGTTTTTAAATTTAATTCGATTCGAATGCTTAAAAAATAATCTGCAATTAAACTGAACAGTAAAAAGTATAATTCTAAATATAGTATTACGTCTTAACATGTCTATACATGTCCGAAAATCTAGTCAAGTTGTTCCAACTAAATTGTTTGGTGATAGATAAGCTTGATTTGACATATTACGCAATTGAAAGAATGTCAATCTATGGTGAATACTCAATCTTGACTGGATTTTTCAAATAGTTTAGAAACTCTGGTGATATTTGTCGTGTCTGTCACTAATATGATGTGTAAAATTTTATTACAGAAAAATGGGTTGTCAATAGACAAAATTTACGAGAATTCTGGAAAATTCATGGTTGGAAAATCGTTAAGGTTCCTATTGGTGGTTACCCTCGATACCCACGATCACGACTCTATTTCCGCTGCGAAAAATTCAGTTAAAATCAATCTCTAAAGCAATTTATCTGCAGCTTGTTTCCGCAGAACTGATGCAATTGATGGTGTAATGATGAAAGATAAATTTAGGGGACATTTTCAAATCAAGTAAAATCAATGGAATGAAATGCTTTCTTTTAACACGGATTATTTTTTGGTATCTTTTTTTTCATCATGGAAGTAAGTTAAGAACAAAACGTAACGAGAGTCGTTCAGATAAATATTCTCATTTTAAAATAGAATAATATTTGGTGAAAAAAATAACATTGGAGTTTTAAAAAAATAAGGTATATTGTTCATGGTAATACGCAATTTCAGTAAGAACTCGAATAAAAATATAAATTTAAAATTCTGTTTAATATCTAAATATTTTTTTTGCCATTAAAAAAGTTATTTAAGTAATTACAAGCTACTTATAGATAGCTGTAAAAGCTATCTTCAGTGACTTTAAATATTAATGAATCTCTTTGAAAATTAAAACACTAATGACTTAATGCTGTAAAAAGAATGTAAATCTAGTAGTTAATAAGAGAAGAAAAAATATAAAAAAAATCTAAATTAATTGTTAAAAATTATAGATAGTAGTATTTGCACGGAGGACAAGATAAAAAAAGTAAGTGGAAAAAGTAGAGTAAAGTAGTGGAAAAAAAATAAAAACACTATAAGAAAAAAAAATTGAGTGAATGAATGTGAAAAAAGAGATACTTACAATTCATCGTGATTACCCTAACTAACGAAAGTTTACTCGTTTCAGAGAGGCAAATGGCTCGGAGTCTGACTGTTCGTTATTTACCACAGCATTTTTCCTGTACGTATTCTCACTCTGTTTTCTCTCCTTTCTCTTTTATAGCTCTCATTTCGATTTTCACTCTCTCTAATTTTTCTCTTTTTCCTGCCTTATATTCTGTCCATTTACTTCGTTCTACTTTTCTCATTTAATTTGTAGGGACAGTAGTATGAGAACAATGGCGAGGACATCGCATTATTTCTTTCAACGCAAAGTCGAAAGCAGTTTGTCGAGACGAGCTGTTATGAACTATCGGCATTGTCTTTGCCAATGTAAAACGACGATCAGATAGTTTGCAAATGGCGATTCATTATGGTCTTGTTCACTTTGTTGGATTGAGAAAGCTTTGACTAGTAGAGTACAATATGAGTTCACTAGCCACAACATCTTATTTAGAAGTTCCTGTTAACTAGAAACTCTGTCATTCTTGCCAACGTTCTTCACTTAGCAGTAAAAATGGATATCGAAATTGAATCAGTTGATCAATAATATTTTACTTCAGGTAATTTTACTCGTAAAAGTTTATTTCAGATTTTATCGGAATATACATGGAAAAAAATAAATGAACCAGGTTTTTTGAATAATAAACTTTGTAATATTTTAATTAAATATTTTATGTTTATTTAGGAATTTAATTTTATATAATAAAAAATTTGTTTCATAAATTTTCAGAATTCTAGAAAGCTAAAAATATTAGTTGCAAAAACAAATTTTTCTATAATAATAATATCTGTAATATACTACCATAATTCTGTTTGCTCAGTATTTTTTTCTTTTTGAAAGCTGCTGTGTTTTGAAAAATTCAATAATCTATTAACTAATGAAAAATGATTAATTAGAAGAATATTTTAAAAAGAATAGTATTATCAACGAATGATAGTCATTATATTCAAACAATGAGTTTCAATGCTTACTTGCTTCTACTTGTTGTATTATCATTAATAATCATTTGCATGTATCGTTTCAACTAGTACATACAATTAAATAGGCACTCCATTTTTCAAATAGAATTAGTAATATACTCAAGAAATTAATACTTGAATATTTGGTTTTTGGAGAGGATAATCTTTTGAATTGACGCTGAATGTCGGAAACAGATTAGGAGCAGAGAGCCCTTAGTGAGAATAGCGAAAGAGAAAAGAGGAATGTGGAAGTCACTGAGGAAGATTGGATATCTTGGTATTTTAGTCAGTAGATATGAAGATAGAAAGAGAAACGAAATAAGCCATGCAATAGAGAACAGCTGGAAATAAGCTGAGGATTAAATTTAGTTCGCATAGAGCTCAAGTATCTAACGTTGTTCAAGCGTTAATGCTTGGTTGTTAGTAACTTATGTTAATAGATAAAACTGAAGGTAAAAAACTAGAAAAATTTAAACAACTTTTTCCAAAAATTAGTTTCTAGAATTAGTGATTAATTTAAATTACTAAATCCTATAAGCTTTTATTATTTTTTGTTTATTTAATTGCAGCCCAACTTGGTAATTTTATGACTTGATTTCATTTTGTGAAGATCTAAAAGTTTCTACCATTATTTGCAATGATAATACTTGATGGAGTCTCAAACTAATAGCTTTTATCGTATTTTCAAGAAAATAAACATGAATTGGAACAGACTAATTAAAACAATCGATTGCAATAATTTATTCTGAGAGCTTTCGGAGATTTTCCGGTAAAATGCGTGAAAGAGAAGGCCATCGGAAGCTATCTGAGCTTGCTCTTGCTACAATAGCTGAACTCATCGTGAATACGAATGAGGTCTCGGTCGATCGGGCTAGGCTCTAATTGAGAAAGTTCTCCTGAAATGGAGCAGCCGACCTCAATGACACGGCCGAAAGCCTACACCCTATCGGTCGGCTATACCTTATGACTTTCTACCTTTGATAGAGTCTCATCATTAAGGTTGATCCTTTAGACTCTTGAGAGTTTGGATTCGATGACTTAGAGCCTGGATATTCTCATGTGAAGGAGAATCATGTGGAAGAAGATTTCTACTAGCACGTACGGAAAAGGTCTCATGGGTATTGTACAAGTAATAGGACAGTCTCGAAAATTTCTACGAGAAACTTGTTAGAAGACAGTCCTTCAAGTTAAGGAATGAGAACAGCTCTAAATAAATCTTAGAAGACTTCGTTCAAAGTTTTATGGGAAGAATTGATTGAAAACTGTCACTAACAGGAAGATATAAGTCATTATTGTAGGTATTATTCATTTAATACTTTATATTTAATTATCCAAGATACAATAAATTCTTCGCTTAAACTTTTTTAGAAACAATAAATAAATATCTTAACTTTAATTTTTTTTAAATGTAGAAAAGATGAAGTTTTTCATACCTGTGAAATGTAGAAAACATAGAGATAGAAGTAGCAAGATGATTGAAGTTCTTTCCATTATGCTCAAGTGTCTTACGTATTCATGATCCAGGTCAAAAAATTTCTGAAACATAAGTCAATACAAATTGACGTATGAAATTTTGACATAAAGTTACAAATGTTTAAAGTGGCTTGAAAGCTTCTAAAAATATTTTAACGAAATATCACTTATGTTTATAATATGTTATACGATAAATTATCCTTTATCTATTACTACTAAACAAACACAATAAATTTAGACTCAACGAAAATGCCCTCATTCCCCTTATTGGAAACGAGGTGGGCGTATAAAATATATGTCCTAAACAATCGTCCTTCTCATGGTTTACATACTCCGTATTTGCATGGCTTAGTAATCTTTAATTAATTTGCTAATCTTGAAGGAATGTAAATTATACTAGGCTACTTACAGATCAGAATATGTTCGTTAACAAAATACAAAGTTTTTTATTATTCACTATGAATAATAACTTCTTGATCAAAATGTCTTTATCATGTTGGTTAAAAATATCCATAATGAGTTCATGGTTCACAAAATGTCAAGCCATTAAAAATTTAATCAATGACCGTCTGATGGTTGTTAAAGGAAGATTAACAAAATACATCAGCTAAAAATAATTATGTTCCTTTTTAATTAAATTCTCAGTATTTATTAACGATAGAACAACGGTTCTATCAGCAAATAGTGGGTCAAGTAGTATAGTTTGACGATATCGTGCGGCAAGGTACAATATTTAACCTCCATTCGGTTGGTTTTACATCAGACTAGTGATTTATGACCAGTAACTTTGAATTATTGATCGTCTCAATATTAAAGATAATGTTACTGCTATCATAGGACCAGGTCTCGGTCTTCCCACAATGAGCCTAGCTTGCTTACGTGCCGGATGAAAACCCCGTACCTATCGCTATGTCCACAAAGAGCTTCACCGGAAGTACTCGCACGCCAATGCTCCGTTGCTATGCTATGAAATCAAAGGGTTTTACTTTACCGCAAATGCAATTATGTGCAATTCAACGCCACATTCCACCATAAAGACTGTTAGATTTCAATAGTAAGTGAGAAAATTTTGTAAATTATTTAATATGTTGAATTTACATGCTACGATCAAATACATTAATTTAAAAGTATAATACATATGCATTCATCGTCTTGTTACAATACATGAATAAATATTAGTTATTAATATCATAATGAAGCACAGATTTTCCTTAATGATTTCAAATTGATCATTTATTCACATCAATTTATTATTTATTTTTGAATAAATTAATATCAAATGGCATGGAAAACTTATTCTTCAGAATTAGCATTCATAATCTTTCATTTTAATGTGGCTATAAATTACACTAATTGCTTTTATTGTAATGATGCTTATGATAAGTGAAGTTATTCATCTTTTGTTTTTTGCAGGATATTTATTAATAAATTAAGTCCACATATGGCAGCGGGTTTAACAAGAGGATTTATTGAGACTAAGCATAATAGAGATTCATGTTACTAAGATTTTATAAGGTAGAATACTCATACACGATTTCTACAGTAAAGCTGTAAGCTTTCTCATCCAACAACCACCGAGCCCACATTTATTAGATTGTTGAGAGCCCCTGATTTGTTTGACGGAGCTTCAAGTACTTTAATACCCTTGTGCTTGGTGGCGTCTGCTGTTGTGGTCGGCTTTACGTCGCGCGTTCATGGATGCTGTTTGGATTACATCGAAAGGACGTAGTATCGCGTCTAAACGGCTTTACGTACGAAATTACGTGCCAGGTTTGCGACCACTACGAGTAGCATACACGTCGTTGCCGTGCGGTATTTAGCCGATAGCCGTGACTGTTTTAGACCATTTGTGTAAACTCAGAATGGGTATAGCTTGACATGTTCTCCTATTGTTCAATTGATATAGTGTTACATCTGTTACTGAGCCAATTAATTTACTGATGTTTGTCTTTAATGGTGTTCCTTCAGTTTCAGTACTTTTTGATTATCTTAATTTTGGAATTGTTTTACGAAAATTATTTTAATAACATATGTTTTTTCAATTGCAAGTAACTGTCAAGTATGTGTCATTTTTTCTATTAATTAGAGACTATTTCATAATTAAAACAGATCATAAAAATTTTTTTCAAATTAAAAAATTTGTTCCATTTTTTAGTTGTGCTTTAACAAACCAGCCAGTGTCTGTATCTAAAAAATTTTCATTGTTACAATTATTTATTTTTAATTCTAAGATGAACAAAACTAATTATTCTCTATTGTAAACTAACTTTTCTTATATTCACTGTAATTTAATTTTAGAATTGTGGTTTTTAATTCAATTAATCAAAATCATATTCAAAATATTAAATAATTGAGTCACTTTTCTTTTTATCTTTCAAACTTTGTTGAAGTTTAAATATCATTTAATAAACTATGTAGTTCTCTTAATTTTTATTAAATTATTTTTTGCTGACTAACAAGAGCTCTTAAAAGAATGGTATTTCACAATTTTTCGATGTTGAAATTGAATAAAAAAACAGAAAGAAACATCTCAAGTACATAGACGATCACAGATATATCACGAATCATAAATATATTTCTATGAACATTCGAATATGTCAAGTGTACTTATCCCATAGCTTATGCGGATATCGTTTTTTATCTTGTACAGTGTGATATATACTAGAGCTACTAACTTGCAGACCATTGTATTGCAGTAAATTGCACCAATCACACGTATCTAAGTTGAGCATGGAAGCAAAGGGGCAGGATCATGTTTTTGTATGTCGTTAGACTCAATCTCGTCCAGTTGACTTTAAATCAACCGGAAATAAAATCGGCTTATCAGCTAACGTTATTCTTTTATGTTTATAGTTCTCATAATGAAAAATAGATAGTGATAAAAATGATAAAAATGTCGAAAGTAAATTATCTTTGTGAGATTCATGAAGATTGGAAGGATTATTGTATTCTGTTTAGAATAATTTCAAATCTAAAATATTTATATTACTTGGCAAAATTATTTCAATTAAGTGAGAATTTTGTTTTACTTGTTTTTAATCTTTCAAAGAAGATGCTGCAACTCTTGAATATAAAAAATTTTAATTAGAAGAACTTATGAGAGTTCACTTCAATCATGCTTGGAATTAATCCTAAATTTTCTCGGATCTGTATTAAAGTTTAGAATCTGATGAGTTTTTAAAAATAAATATTAAAAAAAAACTTTTCCAACTTTTTTTTTTTTAAAAAAAAAAGAGAAAATTGATTTTATAAAATATTTCAAGAAAATAGTTTTATTTTTGTTCATTCAGATAAATGTTGTCTTTTGTTACAAAAAAATATTTATCGATGTACGAGTTTGAGTTTTCATAATTAGTGAAATTATTTGTTAAGTTTCAACGTTATCAGAAATTAATAATTTTCTATTAATTTATTTAACCAAAGTACTGATTCTGATAACTCAAGCAAGTGTCATCATCAGTATAACTATCGCGAACTAGATTCAAGAGAGTTTTACTAGGAAGATAATTAAAAAGTTTCTGCAGTGAAAACTTTTCAAATTGTTTTCCCTTGAACTTATCACTCGTTCTACAGCGTTTGAATAAACGAGATGTCGACGAGTAAAAATTAAGATCCAGAAACAATTTCAATCATGATTATAGATAATTACAAAAACATTCCGTTCAAACATTACGTCATTAAACTATCGTTTTAACTTGAAAGAAAATTTATTGAATTTCTTAATAAGAATTTTTTTACAATGACATTCTTTTCTATTAATGATATTACATTGTCGAAATTAATACTAAATGAAAATTTAAAAACTTCGCGCCTTCCACAAAAAAAGTGCACGTGCATCGATTCCACTAAAAAATACGCGGGACATTTTCATCTAACCTTTCGCAAATGTCGTTTCGAAGGTGTATTACTCGTATCTATTGTTTTTCTCATGATCGAAAATATTTTTTTGTTCAGTTATTTCTTGAGAAAAGTACTAAATGATGGTTAAGAATAGTAAGAATAAAATAATTGTGCCATATGCGTACTTTCTTGATAAAAAGTATCGGGGAAACGGATTAAAAGAAATTTATCTTTATTTCGATGGATTGTTGACCATGAAAAAGATGAGCTGCAGCTTGTTTTTATTATCTTTGCGGTGAAAAAATAGCTTCCAGAGAATAAATGTAAAATAAAATGGGAAATAAAAAAAATAGTAAGTACTTTTAGGTCGTTAAAATGAAGTAACCATATCATTCAATGTGCTATAGTGACCAAGAGAATATTCATGATAATAAGCACATATAGTGGATAAAATTTTTCTCTACACGATGTCAGCTTCATTCTTCTATGATACGAACGATTGTTCTAGTAATATATTTTTTTTCTCGAACTAACACTTGTTTTGAACAGACATGTATAACAAGAGCTTTTTTATATCTTTTTACAAAAAGTTTAAAAAAATCTTTATCTTCTTACGTGAGAAGTGTTTTTTTTATTATCACAAGATACACAAATATTATAATAGTTAAAGTTTAATTATAACATCTAAAATAATTAATTTAAATAATGAATTTTTCGTCAATAACTCAGCTAATATTACGTCATCTATGGATACAAAATGATGTGAAAAGGTCTGTAAATTAAGGATTTATAAGTATTTACCTTTCTGAAACTTTAACGATCTATTTTTCTATTAACTTTCACAATTTTCCATATCAGTGAAAATTAAAAAAAAATAATGTTACAAATATCCACATAAAAAAGTACTAGGTTGTTATAAGCATAATCTTTCATTTAATTAATTCAATCAGTTATCCGGAAAATGTATTGTATACACTAACATGAGAAACTTTACGATCGATGAAAATATTAATTAAAATTGAAAACCAATGTCCGACATGCTTATCATGAATAATGAGTATTTGCTCATGAATTTAAATTTTAATTATTATTTCTTGTATTGTCGAATGAATATAAATATTAATTTAAATCACATAGTTAAAGACAAAAACATTTATTCATCAATAAAAGCTACTACTACAGGAATTAATATTTTTTTATCTCATTTTTTATAAACTTTTTTTAGTTTTAATATTTTATCAAATATTATTCATGAACATCATTTGACCATGATTAATGTTGAATCATTCAATATAAAAGGTACATTCTAGAAATTTTCGAAACTGTGTATTAAATTACAATTATCGATTTTACAAATGCTATATAATTTGTCGCGGTGCTCTGGTCACCAGTAAATTAATTAGCAGTGGTAGAGGATAGTGATAGTTATAACGTATGTATAAATTCAGTGCATGGGATGTGATGCAAGACAAAATATTTGCTGAAACGTAAATCCCACGAGTATTGAGTATGCTAAACCAGCTAAAGTCTCTATTGCAAATCTCTAGAGTCCTTGCAGGAATCTTTCATCGAGAGATCGTTTTATAAACCCTGGATATTAAAATTATAATGCTTTAATCTTCCTTCGTCTCGCTGAAACTTATTATTAATGATTTATTAGATGTAATTAGTCTAGATTTATCGATATATTAATTTCTGTAGTAGTGTGTTTCGTATACTTTATAAGTCAATAACTTTCATACTTGATTTTTTCTAGAAATAATCCAGTGAAAATTTACTTTCTTGAGTAATAATAATAACACCAACTCAAACAGTAATGGCTTTATAATTGCAAATCAGTAAATATAGAATGATTTTTCTTGATTTATTGTCGGAGAATTAGAAATCAAGTAATAGTAATATTTCAAGCTTTTGTATAATGTTGAAAGGCATTTCATGCATGGTTTTTTTTTCAAGGTAGATGATTAAATTATAACTAGGTTCAGCGCGTCCAAACTTCTTTAAAATATAAGTGGATTTTTTATCAAGATAATTTATTATAAATGTCAATTACTGACCTTTACGTTGCTATAAATTAACGCTGGAGTTTTCTGGGTGATAAATACGAGGAAGTGTCAGTTCATAGGAAAAAGAACATCTGTTTCTTATAATTTATAAGATAGAAGAAAAAAAGGTCACAAAGATAATGATATCGAGGTCATCGCTCAGAGCACTGACAATTAAACAAATAGGACGATCTGACAGGCTGCTCGGCCCGGAGGCTGAAGATTGATATACATAGTGTTCCAGAACACCCGGGAATTCGCTTGGATCCTTTGGTAGAAGACATCGGATGAGAAATACGGGTCAGGTCGTTGTCGTTGATAGAGAAGAGGCAGAAGATAAACGGGGAAAAAGATGGAGTGTTGAGTTGGGTGCGTGATAGAAAAGAAAAAAAGGAAATAAAGTGATAAAAACAACGTCGTCGGATCTACAGCTGGATGCTAAAGAGAAAGAAGGAAAGCGACCGAGAAAAAATAAACTTATAAGGGTGATATATAATAATAATAATGTTATTGTACACAGTCATGAACAGTATTCGTTGAAGGTATACATCGTTTTAGTTTGCATGAGCAAGCAGACTAAGCCCGCCTACTTCGTCCTTTCGCACGCGGGAACATTTGATAACTTTATAACATGATGATGGCCGTGCAACCTTCAATTATCGATGCCCTGTAGCGTTCTGTTCAACAGGAATTCAACTAAACCAACATCACCCTGACACGCTTAGGGAATGAAACTGCATTTGGCTATTTATCAGTTTAATAAAATTGATAAACTTTTATCATAAAATATTCTCCAGGTATTCAAATTACTGTTCTTGAGTATTTTCATAATAAAACTACTGTTGTATTCCAACGAGATTTATTTAAGTAATTTTCAATTTACAAAACAATTGTATTGTAACTAATATTATTCGTTATTTAATATTGGATATAGATTTAAAGGAAGATCATTTTTAACAGAGATTTAGTATAGACTTGTCGAAGGAAGAATTGTAAGTGATCTGACTAGTGAAGAATGATGATCATGTTTATATTAGTGCATGGTGTGCATTAGGTACTATGGTTGATGGTAAGGCAAAAGTACCAACGTGGAAAGTTGAGAAATTTGGGCGTTAAGTCAGTGACCGTAGTTTTATTGCATTTCTTTAAAAAAGTCATAAAGTTAGAAATTTAGAAATTTTTCAGTAAGAATTAGAAAGTTTAATAATTTTTTTTTAATTGTCAGTAAATTCGTTTTGTATTAATAATAGTTTTGTTTTAATAATATTATTGTTAATATTGGTAAATCATTAGGTTTTCTAACACTACTATATTTAAAATCAAGAATGTATTCAAGGTAGTCAATTTCAAAATGAAGGAATTAAGATCAAAAGAACGTTAAAGGAATTATCTGATAAATAAACTAGAAGTTGAGATCAACTAAATAACATATTATTTCGCAAAAAAAAGCAAATAAATTCGATAATCGAAACATATTTAAGTATCATTGCAATAACAATTTATTTTTATTGAAGTTGATTTGTCGAGTGTTGAAATGATTTTTATCAAGTAATTTCACGAGAAAAACTTTTTCCTATATTGGCTTTTTTCATCCAATTTTTGGGAAAATGTGGAGCACGTGCAAGATATGGTATTGCCAATATATATTTTTTAGTCGTTCAAATGAACAGTTATTATTCGTATATATAAAAGGGATGTGGTGAATATTCTGCTGAATGTTGGACAAATGAGAGTAGAAACGAGACAACGAAAAGTAAAATAAAAATAGCGTGAATGTAAAATTGCATTTCCGCATGCTGGCAGGAAACTATTCGTAATGTCGTGTTCACCCTTCTGGCAAAGTTAGTGAAAAAGAATGAGGAGAAGAAATTCTATGACGGTGGTCAAAGAAGAGAAAGGATAAAATAGGAAGGATCTTTCCCAATGTCGAGAGGTCGTGAGGATTTGGACAGTGTGGGTTTTTATTAGTTTTACGAAAAGAATTCTTCAGACAAACCTTCTCTTTTACTTGTCACAGTAAGGGCAAAAGAGTAAATTGTATATGGAGGTTATAATCGTAGCAACTGCAGTAATATAAAGAATAAGAAAAGTAAAAGAGCGAGTAGTTGCACTCGACAAAAAAAGCAACAACAGATTATCCAACATGTCTGTGTTTGATATTTAAACTGTTTCAAGGTAAACTTTAAATGGGCTTTCTTTTACTTTATTTTTGGCTTGAGGTAATTAGATTAAAAAATGAAAAAAAAAAAAATAATAAAATGAAAAAACAGAATTTTTTTAAATGGTAAAAAATTATACTAAATATACCAGAATTATATCTACAACTCGGTTATTTTTTTCAGATTTCTTATTATTTTTTACTTAGCCATTGTGCACGTTGTTTTTATGCACTACCCTTTGTTACATCTGATTACTTTTTTCACTTGAATACACTCTAAAAAAAATTAATTAATTAAGTGGGATTATTTCTCAAGTTATATATTTTAGAAAAGAAAGATTTTTACTCAGATATAATACTAATTGAAACAAAAATCTGCGTTGTTTGTTTTAAAATAATTGGTTTCGATGGGCATGAAATGTTAGATGAAGAAAAAATTTTATTTTTTTACTCTTAAAAAAAAATTTTATTTGTGTAAATTTGCAAAAACAATTTGTCTTTAAGTATATAAAAAATAACACTCATATTCTATGTTCACTACTAAGTTAAATAAAAATATAAATTTTTATAGAAATTTTTAGCTTTCGCCTCAGGCTGAATAAAATAAGTTAATTTTATGTCAGGTTTAGTCATATTAATTTAATAACACGATGTAAAAATCTGTAGTTAAAGTAAATGAAACTTGCAAGTTTTCAAAACGTATTTTCATAAAAAAAGTCAGAGTTTACATGGAGTAAAGTTAAAATAAGTTAATAAGATTTTTTACCATCATCATACATAACTTTAGGTATAATAGCTATGATACATTGTATTCGATGGATCGGAAATGGTAAATGGATCGTGAATGCATAATACATTAAAAATGTTCGTGATGCTATTTTGTTGATAGATATTTTTCATTGAAATTTTTATATCTAGAACGATAAATATTCCATAGTTCAAAAATGAACCATTCCAAATAAATAATCCATCCGAAAGAAATATTTTGCTGTAAGCTAAAAATAACAGTATTAATGAATTATAATTTTAATTAAATAGTATAATTCGAATTAAAATTACTGAAATAACAATTTAATCTGTGTCTGAAATGAGTTCTCTAGATTTTTTGTTATTTTTTTTTTCTCTAGTCGCTTTCAAAAAAAAAAATTTTAATTCATTCATTTTTAAAGAAAAATTTCTCTTCTCAACGAAACTAAAATTATTCAATCTCATCATCAATTCTGTGAAATGAAGACAGTTTAGACGTGTATACATTTGCATTTCCTCAATGAGCGCAAGCGCGATTGTTGATGGAATGTATTCATGTTATTTACACTAGTTATAGGCTTTGTAGCAAGTGTATATATACAGGCAAAATAAATAAAAATATATTCCTAATTATTTAATTCAAAATAAAAATAAACAATCAACTATTACGTACCTTTACAATTAGTTTCAGAATATTTACTTTTTCACTAAATTTAAAATATACAAATTAAATTATTACAATTTTTAATTTTAATACAAAAGATTTATGTATTACATTTCTATTATAAATACACTTTTCTAAAATGTTTAATGTCTGTTTACTATCTGATTAGTAAATTTGCACTTTAACTTATCCAACGACTTCATTATTATTATTATTATCATTTAATTGTATTACGAAGCTAAACAATATTTCCTTCATTAATTTTTTTCATTTTTCAACAGTGTAAACACAGTCTGGAGATGTTGAAGTTGAAGTATTTGAGGAGTTTCGCGTCGTGAATACGAGCGTTGACTGACGAAATCTAGTGGACCAGGCGTTTGCGCTTGCTCTTGATTTTGCTGTTGGCGGATAGAATGTTTGAGGACTGCGCCGTGTGTCTACTGATCTCAATTAATTTTTTTATTATGGCTCTACGAAACCATGTAAGTACTCAACCAATATACAAGTACTGAATTGAAAAAAAAAAAACATTGTTTGTTATAGTAGTGAGTAAATAATAAAAATGAAGGAAATAAGAGTAAAATGGTATAATAGAGGATTCATCAAGTACAGGAAAAGATAGAAAATGTGTCAGATATGAAGGAAAATAATAGTAAAGTCACAATTTGGTGAAAAGAGTGATGCTAGAGAAACAAGAACGTGCAATGGAAGAAAAAGAGAGAAAAAATCACGAAAAATAATCACGCTTTCGTAACAGATTGGCAATGGAACTGGCGGGTCAGCATTTTTCACGACTAGGATTAAAAGGTTTGGCTATCCGAAGAGTCGCTCGCGGTCTGTAATAAGAGTCAGCATCTTTTTCTAGGTAATATTTCACATCATTACGCGCTATTTCCTCGCAATTAAGACTTGATATTTTTTTCACGGTTACGTATATCAACAATCATAGATAAAATTCCCATCGATATTTTTATCCTTAAATTACTCTTAAAAAGACGCTGGCAATATGAAAAGTTATTGACTCAGTAAGAAAATTTTTATAATGAATGAACATTATTCATGGGCTGAATATTTAAAATGTTTTCTAAAAATTTACGTTAATAAATTATTTAATCTTAATGATTTGAACAAACAAGGTTAAATTTATAAATCTTTGTTTAGTATTTTCAATCTTTGGTAGTTTTTATAAGATTTATTCGTGGGTATTTTTTGTATTGTTTATTTTTCTCTTCAAGATTAATAAATCTCCATGAGAAAGATACACATCTGTATGCATACTTGCATGTATAAAAGATGTAGGGTATTCCAGAACTCGTTCGTATTGGTCATTGGTTTGTGAAGCAATTTTCATTTCCACTTCTTTCATTTTATACATAAATACCAAAAATTTTATGGTCTTCTATCTATTAAATGTTTTCTTTTATCTTTTAATGATTTTGCCAGAATCACACTTGAATTTTTTTTAACGTGTCGAGAGTTTTTCTGCTCCCGTGTTAACTCAAAAGGATATTGCGATAACTTAATTGCACTCTCGCTAAAATAATCTTAAATTCCTTTATGAATTTTATTGTTTTATAATATATCTCAAATTATTTTTATTATTAATAATGTTTTTTGTTATAAATTAAATTAAATGTGAAATATGATTATATAATCTAAGTTCATTATCAAAGACTACATTTTTATGTTCTAGATAAAATTTGATAATTTGAAGATAATATAATTATAATTATAAGAGAATAGAATCTAGCATCAGGTTAAATCCTAGCGTAATCACTTGCTTACTGGCCATTTTAGTTATTCTGCAGAATTTAGTTGAATTAGTGTAATATATGTATTATAAATTTCATAAGCTTTTGCTAACTAGGCAGTATACTATACCGAGCGTATAATAAATAGATATCAATTGCACAACAATTAGTTTGAATTATTCAAAACTCATTAATGAGTTTTTTCATCATTAATTCAATTATTAATTCATTGACAATAATAAATCTGATGAGAATAATTTTAAAAAGTTAATCTGTTTATCGAATTAGTTTCCTCATCAATAATAATGAAAGATCCCGTGAGATGTATGAATACACATATATTCATTGTAGTTGTAACGTAATAACTCATTTATTTCATAAAAATTTCAAAGATTAATAATACAGCTAAAAGTGCTTTATTCTAAGTATAAAGTACAGGACGATAAAAAATACAATGGAAAAAAAATGCTTTGTGAGTAAAATATCCTCTTTGGTTGTTATTATTTTATTACAAGTACTTTTGACGCCTTAATAATGAGTAAGAAGTCGGATAATTTGATAAGGGAAACTGAGAATTGTTGAGATCATTTAAAGAAAAAACATAAAGCTGTCGAGAACTTTTTACTCTCGGGGTCTGTGTTTCTCTTGAATTAGATTAGGTGACTGATGTTAGACAAAAAGGAAAAAGGAAAGAGAAATATGCAGGGTGAATAGATATTTTAGCATTGCTTGTTTCTTAAAATTTAATGTGCTGAGAGAGATATTTGTGGAGACTTATGAATAGTTAGGAAATTATGCAAGGTATTTTGTGTTTTGCTCACTTCTTATTAACATAGTTATTTACTAGCAGTTAGAAGTGGTGCTGGTAAATCTTTCAAGTTAATAAATTAAGTGAGATAGTAGAAAAGATTTTTGAGACATACATTTTTTGTTGAAAACTTTGCAAAGATTTTATGAACTTTTTTAGTATGGGTCTGTTACTTGATGATGAATAATCAAATATCGATGAATTGATTTATTTTTAAATTCTATTTTGTATTTATTTATTTATCTTTCTTCCATTCTAATATCTAGGTTATAAGTCATATATTTTTTTTATTCCAAACTTCAATTTTATTTTGATTTTTAAAAAATCGAGAATGTTAAGCTGCAAGTCACGTATGTAATATATTAGTACCACAAGACTTTATGCTCGGTATTTGTTCGTGGAGATATGTGAAAACTTTTAGAAGGTATTTCTGAAGGAAATTACAGCATCTAGCAGAATGCTGGTAAGCCAAGGGATCGTACACCTTCAGCTAGCCACTTCAATTTTCAAGTGCCATTCAATAAGAGACATCGTACTTGCACATATAAGTACTCTTTAAGCCCAAGTAACTATTCAATTTAATATTGCTTACCATGAACATGTAGCTGAAATACTAGCTTATTAGTTGAATAATACGATGTCTAATCATCTGGAAAACGGGTCTTGTATCTATATGCAAATCAGTCTTAGGTTTCTTGATATATAAATTTCATTAACAAGTGATAAATCATTTTTTATAATTTTTTTTCTGTTTTATCATCATGTTCATTGAGCGATTAATTTCATTCACTAGCTATTTCTGCTCTAATAATACATACTATCCATAATCTCGGTGATCTTTAGACCTAGTTGACTCAGTTTATAAGTCATGCTGAGGGGAAAAGCTATTACTGAGTTTACTTTATAAAGACGAGGTAAAGTTAATCATGGAGCTAGAAAAAGAAAATAAAATTAATTTTTATTAAAAACACTAGTAGTATTTAATCAAAATAAATTAAGGAATAAATCTCATCCAAAGGAACTCCCTAAAAAATGTCTTGTCACAATTAGATGTTGGCTGAGAGAAAAAAGTATCGTTAAAGACATTCTGCTGAAATTATAAAAAAAAATTAATTTCATTAAATATTTTTTATGTAATTTTAACGACATTGCTGATAAAATAATACCAAATTCTTTATTAAATTTTAAATTAAATTAATTGGTGATTTTCAAAGTAGATAATCATTTGTTAAAATCAATTAATGTTTTTCTGCTTCAAAGTAATAAATAGCTTTTTTCACGCTCATTTTTAATATCAGACAACCAGTACGAATGTTTGTGACTCTACAAATGGAGAGAATAGTTGACATCTTTTTTTATTAAAAGAACTAGAAAAACAAGTCAATTCATTCCTACCAATTTCTGTCCCTCTCAGAAACAAGAGTTAAAAACATGGATAAGGTCACCCAAAGTTACTAGGTCAACTTAACTTCTGAAGGTTTGTTGCATGGTTTCGACTTCAAGACCAGTAACTGAAACACTATCAATTGAAGAAGAAAAACACTTTGACTATGTTCACCATTGTTTTAACTTATAAAAGAAAAATACTTATATTATTTTATTTCTTTTTACATGTACAAGTAATACTCAAATTTCCTGAAGCTGACCAGAGACAATTAGTTGGATGAATAAAGCCCATAAAAACTGACTGATTACTACTGCTTCAATGACTTATAAGGTATGATGCCAATACGTCAACACATTTATGGCAATGTCATCAACGCTCGGGAGACCATTTACTGGCCTCCTTCTCTCACTTCGATTGAAATATGTAGAAGTGGTGCATTTGATCATTAAGTATTAGTCATCCCTACCGAGGAAAAGTTCAAGGTTATTTGAAAGAATTATTGTGATCACTTTAAAGGATTAAAGAAAATAATTGTTACTATACAGTTCTTTACTATTAATGAGCGAAAAAAAAATGCTTATATCCTCGAATTTCATTTTTCATCATTGGATATCTTCTTGAGAGATAATAATTATGTTTAGAGAAGAACTTTTAGTATCTAATCATCTTCATGGTGATAATGTTTTGATATAATTAGTGTCGCCTGAGGATTATTGACTAACCACTGTCGACAGGCGGTAATTCTGACGAAAACTTAATCTTTTTTAGGAGTACAACAAATTACTAAGTTGGAACAAATATGAAAAATATAGAATTATATCAAACATGTGATTAACCTTGTCTATGTTATACTTAAATAATAATTCACTTGTCCTTGAACTAGGAATGTTAAAAAAAAGTTGAGGGTAGACATGAGAGATCATCTAAACTTGATAAAAAAAATTAATCTTGCTGGAGACCTGTTGTGGTAATGTTTTAATTTATTCATGAAAAATATCTACTCTATTAATTGTAATGGGAACATAAATAAGAAATATCTCCAATTAGAAATGAAGTAATTAGGAAAAGTTAAAAA